GTAAAATGAGGTCACCTCTTCCAGATTCTTAGGTTTTAATTATGTTTTAATTATTTTTGTCATTTTGATCTATTATAAGTAGCATTAAAACAACTGCATCTATCATCAACATTGTTTTTATAGGCCAGTTCTAATTATACATTCTGTTCATTACCAATTCTAATGAAATCGTATCAGGCCCTAACACCCTGTTCCCCTACACTGACACTACACTTGAATGACGCCACAGACAGTCGTAACTTTAAATTAATGTTTAAAGTACTAAACAATTATAATTAGCCATGTAAATGCTGCAACTATAATAAAAATTGGCATATAGACATTTTATTAATAATGTTTTTTATATAGACCTTCTATATTTAACTCTGTTATTTTTTTCTTCCCCAGAGTGTTTCTAAAAGCCAGAATTTTAAAGGGGAGGGCGGTCGTTTTTTTTTTTCAAGAATAATTATAGAAATAAGCTATAAACTGGTATATTTTGTAAAGTTTGACATAATTACACATAAATGTATGCCTAAGTGACATTTCTGTGTAATTATATTGTGAATTTTGTGAATTTCGTGGATTTTTAGACCTCACTACATTTAGATGTAAAAAAAAATCTCAGTTGAGTGAGTGTGGTTAATCTGCATTTTGAATGTGATGTAAATGTCTAGTGCTATTAATTTTTATATTTTTGAATTCCTCGATTGTTAAGCAACAAAATTGATATATAATATGTCAATATTTGTTACTTTGAAAATTGGCGAAAATCGACCCTAAAAGTAGATGCTTGAGGGTTGAATCTGTTTCCTGCCATATATGACACAAATATATCATAATATACTTCTATTAAAGCCTCAACAATAAGGTAACTTTTTCGTACATTACTAGCCGCTGCCGATTTTACATACCTAAAATGATAGATTACCGGAATTGTATGCAATTAAATTAAATTATAGCCAGTCCAGTTGTTTGTCAATCATTTTAAATAAAACATTTTTTTAAGTTTTAGACAGTTTTAGGTACCAAAGTAAATCAAGTGACAGAAAGGTGGATGGTTAAATTTTACAATTTTACAATGATTTAGATTTATGATTAAATTAAAGTAAAATGTTTCATCTGGGCAATCTAGAGCTCTTGTGTAGACTGCTCTAGCTTCAACCAAGTTCTAACTTTGACTGATTTCTTACTATGGTCTGAAAAAAAAATATATAAATTTTTATAAACACCATTGGCCAAAATAAATTATATAGGCCTAGGCCTATGGCCTGTTTAATAATTTATATTTAATTACACATTTGTCGAGTTGTGGGGGATTTTCCTCGTATCATTTTTGAGCTCTCGAACAGAAAATTTAAGGTACAACGCGTCCGTGAATTTTATCACTTGAACATGATGAATTCAATTTTTGCTGTCTTTAAGGTGGCATGCTTTACAATGCTCAAATTAATTTATGAATTTAAATTTTATTAATTAACGCTTAGGCCTAAAAAATATGTGTATTTTTTTATTTAAATAAAACTTTAAAAAAACTAAAGTTGGCATAGTCCTAACTTTGGCTGACTGAAGAACTTGACCTTAAAACATAACTTTGCATGAATTATCTTAGCTTAATTATAGTTTTATTGAATAGTGTAATCAGCAGAGCATTCTTTTTTTCTGAAAATAACAGTGCCATGTGTAAAAGACCTAACAGTTTTTGCGCCCACCCCCATTAAGCCTGCGGCACCTATTCATTTATTATTCTAAATTAATTTATAATTAAATAGCAGTTCTACTTCTACTCCTGCACAATTTTTATTTTAATCCCCTAATCTTTTAGTAAATGTGAAAGTTAAACCATAGACTTAGTGGATAAAACAATAATTTATATATAAGCTTATTGTGGTCAAAGTTAGTACAAGCTAGCGACCCTGTCAAAGTTGAAACCAAGCATAACAAAGTGGGGTCAATATCTAGACTTGCATACAGCTAACATAAGAATTATTATCTTAATGATGGTTGGTTAACTATTCATACCAAACCGATCAGCTGAGGTAACGTTTTTAATGGTGATACAATGAAGCCGCCATGTTTATTGTTTTACAAAATAAAACAAAGAGAATCGAAAACGAATAATTGGAAGTTAAAGCGGTCTATCCTATGTTTTTTTTAAAACAATTTAGGCCTATTTATTAGTTGGCTAAAAAATAAAGATTAGTAATCTTTTGATCAGATGGAACCCAGCTTGTTAACTTAGTACCATTTTTATGGTAGATTATTGTTAGAATTTTCAGGGGAAACCACTCATTTACAAATGGCTGCTGTTTATATAGCAAATCTTGCTCTCAAAGAGTGCTGTTTAAAGTGAATTTCTGGTCTACATTTATGTATTTATATATTGCATTTGGTTTATTATTCAATCTAAAGTTTCGGCTAATTTTACGTACCTAAATCGATAGGTAACCGAAATTTTGATTATCTTGATCAATCTGTTTTTTTTTTATTTTCCTGTGAAATCAGAAGCCTGTCTCATGAAATTCAAAATTATTTCCTTATTTAACCTTAACTTATTCCATTGCTTGCAAACTATATGCCTATACACTGTAAAATAACATAACAAAAATTATTGTAAGGTCCTAATTGACTTAGGGGTCTATGTACATACTTATAGTCTTAGCCTATGCTGAATCAACTTCAATTCAAACAAATAACTAAAAAGGGGTAAATAAAAATCTCATTAAAAATTATTTTTATAAGTAATATAAGGAAAAAGGCTTTTATTGTATTCACACATAAAAAAATAAATGAAAAAAAAAATTATGTTAAAAAAAAATTAGTTTCATGTAAGGCAAATAGTGATTAGTTTAATGGTGGATGTAGGTGTAACTGCACATAATGTTGCCAAATGAACTGCATAAACATCATTGCGGCTAAAAAACATATTACCAGCTGCCAAGTCTGCAAACTTGTATAAATATATGTACCGAGGCTGGTATTATTAATCAAGTGAAGGCTGTTGAAGGCATATTGTCCTGCAAGAACATGACTGTGCATGCTGATGGCACTTCCAGGGATCACAACAAAATTGTGGGCCATCTGCTAGCTCTTGATAATGGAATGATTCTTTATTTAGGATTTAATCCTGTGGCAACTGAATATGCCAACACATTGTTAGAGGTCGCAATGAACCTTTTTAAATCAATGTTGGATATATACTGAGGCTACAGTAATGAGTTGTCTGTGTTGGTTTTAAAGAGTTGAGTTTGAAATTATTTATTAAGAAATTTCAAGATACTCAGTAGAACTTGGAGAGAATATACCAGTTAATTTTCTCCCCTGTAACGCCCTTTTTCTACTAGAGCTCAGCAGTGCCTGTGAGAAAGAACTTAGTCAAGTTGAAATTGAACTTTAGGAAAAATGTGGTCCTCTTGGACGAGTCAAGCTAGATATGTCTCAAAGTTTCTAAAGCAGTACTGAAAGTTCCGTATGTCTTTGATAAGAATGACATGTTAGGACCTTAGAGGGGATAAAATGAATAGTCTTAGCCCATTGTCTTTTACTTTTAAGCAATTAAATTGATGAGATTCCCTTCGGGATTTTGATTATGACATGGGCAGACGCAGAAATTGCTGTTGAATCATTCAGTGATGAACAGACTTAAAAGAAATCAGACAGCTGCTTATAGCAAAAGCCAGTCATTGGCTAAGAAAGCAGCTCTTCTTGTACGCTCATCAGCAATCTAAAATGTTCTGGAGTAGTGCTAGGTTGAATGAAAACCATGTGCAACTTCAGATGAAATGGCAATAAACAAAGATAAATGCATTCAAAATGTGGTAAAGAAAATCAACAACTCAGCAGTGTAAACAAAAGTGAAAATTCATGGAGGTCCATGTACTTCTTTATGTGACAGGCTAGATGGTAAGCTATTGTTGGAGGCTTTAAAAAGGGAAATTAGAATACAGAAACCAATATTTTAATAAATAACTCAGGTATTTTGAAGCTGTGTGGCAATGTGGATGATTTATATCACACTCTTAAACTGCATTTTCTAAAGCAGAGTTAAGGTTAACATGCTGATTTTACTTATATATAATAGTAATATGCTCAGTTTTGTTTGTTTCATCATATCTTATCTAGTGTACTGAATATTTTTTTGTAGAATTTCGGGGGGAAAATTGACTTTTTGTCACACTCGGTTTTGAGTAACATTATGAATGTTTCTGATTTGTAGAACAATATATACAGTTTAAATTTTTTTCTAGGGTCGTTATAGTACTTTGCTTAACATTATTATATTAGAGCGCTTTTGTTGATTTAAAAGAAAATTTTGTAAAATTTTCTCTTTGTGGTTTTTATTGAGATGATGATTAAAGCTCGATTTCTGCATTTTTATATTCTACTCTAATTAACCTTTACTATCAATGGTTTATTTACATCAGTTTGTTATGTTTTATTTTTTAAAAACTTTGATTTTTCTTTTACATCCCTTGAAATTTTGTATAAAAATGACAAGTTGCCATTTGTATACAATAAAAGTATATATTGGAAATTAACAGCATGTTTTAAAAAAAATGGGTATTAAATCTTTGTATTCGACATTAGAATTTATTTAAATCTTTATTACATCATTTATAGTTTTTAAGATAAGGGGCGGTAAAGTTGGGACCTCATTGGAATGAAAAAGTATTTTTTTTAAAATGTCCGATTTCAAAATCACTTTTTTACTAATTGTCTTTTAGAAATAAATTTTGTATCCACGTCCTTAGAATAATTAGTTCTACACATTAAAACCAAACCAACTGCTGTGTGAAAAATAAGTTTGGTGTACCTACTTTTATATTTTAAATATAATTGTCATCTAACATCAATATCTTTAAATTTGGGTTAATTTTGTTATTAGGTTTGGAGTCAATTTATAAAATACATGAGTGTAATGTACTACCTCAGTTTTTATGTCAGTTTGTACTTGATAGACTGGTAATAGCCTGCTCCCTGTTGATTGTTTATCTTTAATGGGTTTTAATTTTTACTTTTAGATAGACTTTACACAGACAAACATGAATGGATTGAAATCAAAGGAGGGAAAGGCACTGTTGGAATATCTGTTTATGCACAGGTAAAGCTTAGTGATCTATTTAGAATGCACCAAGTGAATCCCATCTTATATAACAGTTATAACTTAGCTACAAAACTAAAGGTCTAATGGCTGATAACTGCTCTAGGTGGAACACCATTTTTATATAAGCACCTGTGCACCTTTTTCTTATTTAAAAAAAATTTCAACAACCCAATGTGTTTTTGTATCATACAAAATGAATTTTAAGAAGAATTGTATTTTGATTCACTTTCAGGAACAATTGGGAGAAATTGTCTTTGTTGAAACGCCTGAAATTGGTGCCACATTAAATGCCCATGGTAGGTGAATTATTTCAGTTTAAACTATTTATGAGATGTAACTCCTGTTTTCGTTTGAGAAAATTTTTTACCATTAGTTAGATTTAAAAATCAATTTTTGTTTCGTTTATATTGACAGCAATTTATTGACAATATTTTTTTAAATGCACCCGGAAAATACTTAAAATACCTTTGGTTTGTTGTTAGAAACATTTGGAGAAAAAAAATGTCCTTATTTTTTGAAAGTCTTTTTTTTTACTTTCAATTAGAATATATGTAGTTACAAGAGGAATCCACTAACAAAGTAATACTTGAAAAGTAAAGCTTTGTATATTTTTAAGATGCTAAGTTGAAGAGGCTATTGTAAACTACTTCTTTCAGCTGGCCAAGACCATTTAGTATATTCTATAAATTGATAAAGATGAGAGACAGTGAAGAGTTTATGGGAAGATTTTTTAGCAGTTGCGCATTCCTTCAATTAATTTGTCTTGAAGCGATTTGCTGCACATGTTTTGTTAAACTTCTATTTAGTAATATTATAGTGTCGACATTAGTTTAATACTAAAAAGGTAATTTTTATGATGTACTGATTGATCTGTTTTATTTTAAAAGTAAAGTTTACATGAAGACTATAGATGAATTAATTAAAATTTAGGAAGTTAAGTACTTAAATTAATAAGTCACCTGTTTCAGATGTGGCAGGCTGTCTGGAGAGTGTGAAAGCAGCCAGTGAAGTGTACAGCCCTGTTGGGGGTAAAGTCACAGAAGTCAATGATAAGTTGTCCGGTGAACCAAAGCTAGTCAACACATCACCCCTTGATAAAGGTACATGGCATTTTTATATTTATTTATAACTACGTATGCATCATGTGTTGCTGCGATCTGATGCTACACGAAAATGACTCAATTTTTAACCGCATGATCTTATTTTCTGAAATTGAGTTATTTAAATGTAAATAATGTCAGCACTAAATTGCTTGGATATTAGTTTTTGGGTGCTGGTTTGTCTACTGCCCAGATGCTCCAGGGTGAGCTGAGTGAAAATGAAAACCTTGATCTTACTTGCATCACCCTCCATAACAGTCAGGTAAAATATACCTTGGCATTGCTGGCATCTAGTGCAGTTTTTTGGTTGAGTTTAGTCATTGAATGTAGTGGACCACCGTGTCCTTAGTGTAAGGTGCTCTTGAAAATAATGTAGGCACCATAGTGCTCATGAGGAGGTCCAGGGTCACCTGCTGTCCTGGTGCTGGAGGATGACCCTAGTGTATTTTGACAGTTGAATCAAGTGTAGTACATCTGACTCCTCCCCTGCGCAAGACGTGCAATCAACTGACCCCAGGTAGCTGTTGGGGAACCCTAGGTGCCAAACTGCACCTTCCCACTTCACTGATGTTTTTTTTTAAATTTTAACATTCGCTAGTGTTCTTCCCAAAGTTTCATTGTTATCAGGTTAATGATGCATAAAAGACCCATAAAACAGACTAACATTCATTTTTATATTGATAGATTTTGGTCTTGTTGTTAATGTTTTGAGTAGATGTAGTAATAGATGTGTAGTCTTTGTGTTGATTGAAGCAGACTTGTTGTCTGTGTGTTAACTGCAGTAATGATCTTCAGTAGAATGTTGGTCATCGTATTAGTTTTAGTAGACTTGTAATCTTATTGTGAATTCTTATAGAATTATGCTCTTTTTATGAATTTGAGTGAACTTGTAGTTTGATATAAATAATTGCATAATTTATGATTTAAATACCACTTGAGGCTTCTGTCATATCTTCCAGGCTGGCTATACAAGCTTGATGTTGCTCCTGGCACCAAAACTGATGATTTGATGGACGAGAAAGCTTATGCTGAGTTTGTTGGAACCATTGATAATCATTAAAATAATGTGTACTGATAAAATGGCGCAATTGGGTTTGTGAATTGAAAACTGGGAGATTATTTGTAAATTAATTATTTCATGTAACATGGCCTGCTTAGTGGTATTAATACATAATTAATTAGTTCTTTGGAAATTAATTCACTTTGTTGCTAAGTTCAGCGGCTCCACATTTTTAAAAAATACAGGATCTGTGAATTCTCCACTTTTTTAATTCATTGTTACACTCAGAACCAGAATTATATACTCATTCATTTAATTAGCATTGTGTGTCAGAAACATGAATGTCTGAATAGTTGTTTTAATGAGAGGGGCAATGAATTAATTATAAAAACCATCTTCATGTTTGTTGCTAGTCATCTAGACATTTTTTTCTATATTCTGATTTATACTAAACAGCTGTATGGAATGACTTCTTTATTAGCAACATATACAGAAAATTTCCTTGTGCCTTTGTAGTTACCTTAGTATTAAGTAGTGATTTATGTTATTGTTAATGCATTCATGTATAAAGATTCTGTTTCTGTTATTTACATGCCCTAGTTTGTGGAGAAACAAATGTAGTGTACAGTATATATTTTTAGATTATACTGTATGGTGTAAACAGAGTTTGGTCTCTTCTTGGCTTTTTTTTTTATCAGGGATTTTATTCATCTATCCAATAAAAAATGTGACATGGTTGAATTTGTTTTGTTGTCTTTTATATCACATTTTGTACTCGCAGAAATAATTTAAACAAAACATTAGCAATGTTTAAATGACTAATGAAATACCAACACCTTCATTTTAACTGAAAGACATTATCTTCTCATAGCATAAGCAAGTTTTGTCTAAGAGCAGACCAATGAAGATATAGTCCTGTAAAATAAGATGAGAGCACACAGTTCAAGTCATTGTCCCACCATTTGACAGTTTACAAAGATGACCTTTCCAGAAATGACAACAAAATTGTAGGTCACCAATGGACTCTACTCATTTGGATTTAATCCTGTGGTGTTGGAGGATGCCCATATCTGCCAGAGGGAACAATGAATTTTTTTAACTCAATGGCCACATCTATTCAGACTATTGCAGTGGTAGTGATAAGTCTTCTTTAACAGACTATGCTGGGACTGCATGTTGGATCATATTATGATTGCTAACACAACAGTCTTGAGTTTGAATCCCGGGCTCAAGTTCTTAGTGTAGTACAATAAAATTTGACATGAAAAGTAAATAACTATACAATAATAAAAGAAAAGGTAACTGTCCAGTTCAAGCTGTAGCAAACTGTATTGCAAAATAACCAAGTGTACAGCAGCATCAACTTTAAAAGACAATGAATATTCAAGAAAAACAGTCAGATGTAAGGAAAATTTTACAAAACAAGTTTATTTTTAAATGTTTCAATTTTTGGATCCCTCTGGAGATTTTTGAGAAAATAAAATCAAAACAAAAATAGAAAACATTTTGTTTATATTCAATTGTATTTGGATAATTTTTACTTCTTAACTCCACTGCGAAACAGACCAAACAGAAATTAAGATTTGAAAATCTTTCTGGACATTTTTTATACAAAAAAACAAAAAAATATGAACAAAACTGCATGATTTATATAATTAAAACAATAATTCAATTGGCATATCTTTACATATTATAAACAAACACAGTTAAAACAGCCTTGATGCTGCCCTCCAACAACCACAATAATGGCAATACCAACACTATCTAATAATCTGCTATCAGTAAGATACTCAATGAGTTCTTTACATTAAATCATCAACAAGAGTCAAAAAATGAACAAAGAAATGCAATGTACAGACACATAATAAGACATGCACTTCAAGCAGTCTCAGATTCTCAAAAACATTCAACTCTTTTGACAATAGTTCTATGAGTAATTTTCAAATACTTGCAAAACAAAAATAAAACAGTAAAAAAATGAATCATTATAGTTCTATATCCTTCTATACAGTGACTACCTATATATATTATAGTCTAATATATCTACTCAATTTCTGGATAAATTTTACTATAATTTAGTGTTAATATTTATTTCTATACATGGTATCCACACACATAATGAACAATTTAAGAGTTTTTTTTATATAAAATACGTACATTGAAAAAAAACATTTTATATAAATACCACACAAAATTATGTGTGCTTTAGTTTAAAATGAATACACATTGGATGAAATCAAAAATGTCTATTTTGAAATTAACTAAAACAAAAAAAATAATTTTATACTGAGTTTACAGCCATCTGTTAGTTCAGGAGCGATGCAGCAACATAACTTTCACAAAGCACTTTGCCAACAACCTTTACAAATCTACTTTAGCCCCCATCCCCACTGGTATAGCCTTCATCTCTGACCTCATACACAGGAACTCTGCAGTCACGGTAGTCAGGGCCAGGCAAATGATGTTGGTCACCCACCACCAAAATGTCACAGGTACATAACCAAAGTAGATCCAGCAGGCAAAGAAGTGGAACCCATGGATGGTTGCAGTGAAGTCTAAGCACTGTTTCGTGCGTCCTACTACAGTCCACATAATGAATGACCTGTGGAGATTATGATAAAAAACTTCATTTGGTAAGTAAGTTACTTACCACAAGAAATTCTTTATGAGTTCAGTGCCCTTGAATGTTATTATATTCAATAAACTCAATTAGTCAAACTCAGCATAAAAAGGAAATTGTGACAGGCATAAACTATGACATTTTTCAAATTATGTGCAAAAAATGTATGCATGCAAAATATTAAGAGCATAAATTATATTAATATAAACATAGATCAATATACGAAAGCTACTATTTAAATAGTTATGGGCATTCATATAGTATAATACTATGAACATCCAATTGTAAGCTCATAAAAAATTATTAAAGCTATCAAAATAAACTTACGCAGTTAAACTGTTGAGGGCATATGCTATTATATTTGTTCTTCCAGAGTCTTCATATAGTCCAAGATCCTAATGAAAGTTATAGATATATTTATATGGTCAATTTAGCAAGGGGATAACCAATGATCACATGATACAAATCTTAATTTTTTTTTTACCATAAATAAAATAATAAAAGGCTCTACATACGCTCTGTGTAAAAAGTTGTTCAGTTGAAAGGTCAAACTTTCCAATGACATCTAGGACAAATATCCACATGCCCAAAGAAAAGTACCAAAAGGAAATCATTGCTATTATCTGGCCAATGATGAGGACAGGGTCCCATTGAAAACTGCGGAACTAGTGGGTGAATCAAAACAATAATCAAAAATGTGTTACTAAATTAATTTTTTTTAGTAAAATGTAAGAAATTGTAATCGGACAATGTGGTCCAACAGTACAGCATTTGGCTGCTAGCTCAAAGCTCTCAATTTCAGAGCTCGGTTAGGACTTGTCACTGTAGGACGTCCATGAGTCCACCCAGCTCTGATGGGTACCTCACAAAGTTGGGGAAAGTAAAGGCTGCTGGACATAGTGTTGACCACACCATCCTTTCATAGGCCAGGAAACATATAAACTGTACTTTAACTGCCCAATGGATAGCTAGGTCCTAAGAGAAAAAATTACTTAACTTTCCAAAAGTTGTTACAAAAATTTCAGTTTTTAATTAGCTTTGCAAGGTAATATTATGAAATGCCATTAATTCTTTTTTAAGCATGATAGTTGTTAGGGTTAGAGTGAAGGGTGCAGTGAAATATCATTAAGTATCAGTGTCAATACAAAAATATTGATTATAATAATCAATTAAGTTCTTAAAAAGTCAGGCTATCTCTATGAAATAATTTTAATAGAAACTTGAACTTACTTGTCCTCCCATCTTTAGTGACGGAACCGGTATTCTAATCAAATGTAGCATATCATTGGACTTGTCATCCAAATTCCAACTGTACAAGAAGGTTTATTCTGAGTGTATAAAACATATTGTTTTAGTATGATTGTCTTAAAAATGTTAATGAACATGTTATGTTTTAGATATTTGAGGCATTGGTCCTATTATCACCCCCCCACCCCCGCCCAGCACACACACACACAAATACTGTTGATGTCAAGTGGGTTAGGACAAAGTAGGCATTTTGAAGAAAATTTCATAATGATTTTTTAATTTAAAAATGTAGCACACAAGTAAACTAAGCTAATTTAGCATATTTTAACTTTCTGTGCAAAGTCATTATTACTGAAAAAAATTTTAAAGTCAGGTCAGCCTGTGGCACCCTCCACTGAACTTGACTGAAGGGAAAAATATTTGACCTGTGACCTTCATTAAAACAGAATTTACTTTCGTTTTTTATTTTTATTTTTAGTAAACATTTGACAATTACTTTTAATTACTGTTGTAAAGTGAGATAAACAGCTTAAAAAACATGTGTTTTGAGGGGGTGTGACCCGGGTGTGGCACATCGCATTGTAACTTTATATTTCTGTGTTTTATGACTATATTTGTTCACAATCAGCATGCTATGCTTTTAAAATTGATAAAGGGTAAGTATACCAAGTTACAAAACCTGAAATCTAACTAACACTTCATACTTTCAGTTTAAAAAAGAATGAAAACGATCATCAATGAAGAAAGTGTAAACATTCTATTTTTAGGTGTGACATAAAAAAAACAGTCATAAATCTAGCCAAATGATTGGATTCATGTGTGTCACACATTTTCCAGCGACTTGTGTTCACCAAAAAAGATTATAATAAAATGGCATTATTATTTTCACGGACCATATCTCATAGAGAACCATAAATTATTACCAGTTTATTGTAATGTGTGTAAAATTAATGCTTTCAAGTTTCAAATAAGTCTGGTTAAAAGTAGCAGCGGTATTTTATAGTTATTGGATTCGAAAGATAAGAATTATATAGAGCTACTTTCACTAAGGCGCCGCTTGCGAGACAAACAAAGAAATTAGGCCAAAAGTAGATCCGACAATTCTTAAATAACAGACTTAAATAGAAAAGGATAGTTCCGATTTCAAAAATTAACGATGGCTTCATAATCATTAGTTTTATCCCTCTACACATTAGTGAAAGCGAAACTGGCCGCCATTTTTGGTAAGTGCATGAGCCGTGAGATGGCTTCAAAACAACAAACCCGGAAGCTGTGAATCGAACGGCCTAGACAAGGGTTAAATAAATATCTGATGAGTTAAGGATACTTGATTTTTCACTATTTATTATAAGCATTTTTTGTGTGTTGTTAACATGAGTTCAATGTAATTTTAGAAGTGTGTCATAAGTTGAAGTCTCTCATTCAAATCAAATACATGCAGGCAATAGGTAAAAAAAATGAATAGGTGGCTTAGTCGGCCGTTGTCTCATCCAAGTTATAACTTGGGTGGAGGATTTTTGTAAATATTATTTTGTTATAGATGGACATTTGCTTGGTACAAATGTACTTTGAGTAGTTGTTTACTATCACTCACACTAACAGTCAGTCACAGTTTGCAGTGTCAGAGTCAGTGCAGTGTCAGTCACAGGTGACAGTTGAAGTTGAGTACTCATCAGTGAGTCTGACAGCATATATCAGACTGCTCAATTAGAAATGGCGAATGTTAACAGTAGACTATATAATATACTATAGAAATGTACAAACCGTATTATTTTGTAAGTTCAAGTCATGGGAGAATGATGGAGGATGGAGAAGTTGATACAAGTGTCTTGGGCTTCGACTAAGGAAATTGTTTACTATGCCAACTTGGAGGTCGCCATATTGAAAAAGGGGAGACTACTAATTTATAATATTTCACCAAACTTAAAAGGAATAAAAGAGGTTAGATACAGATACGGTATTAGTATTAGGGTCCATTCTAAAATTAGTCCCAGAAATTATATTACATCATGTAATATTAGAATGATTATTCCAAATACCATTACCGTTCCTTGCCAAAGAAAATTTTTAAAAACTTAGGCCAACAAGAATATGTATATAAAAAATTCAAAAATTATTTGCTGACAATATAAAAGGTATGCCAGATACCTTTTCCGAAAATACTGGACACCTTTCCATCCTTCCCTTCTCAGGTATGCCGCAAAGCAGAAGAAGGGGGGGGGGGGGGGTAACAGAGTATTATTCATATACTTGTCCAGTATTTATATTTATTTTTTCCTGGACAGTCTGCTCAAATACTGGACTGTCCAGTTCAAAACTGGACACCTGGCAACCCAATAGATTATCAGCTAGATCAACTGACTAGATCTATATGCATTTAACGATTAATAATTAACTCATTAGAACCTTTTTGGAGTAGTTATTAATATTAATATTGAAAAATAACAATGTTTAATTCAATGCCATACCTGGATCTTCAGATACTTTTAGCAGCCAAATCTTATGCAGCTTTTGGATTGTACTTTGTCAGCCCTAAATATTACTAAATAATAAATTACTTTAAATATATTTAATGAATAACAGATAAAAATTAATTTAAAGGGTTGTCTTCTTTGTTTTTAATTGTACTGTTGGAAGGTATTTCCTCCACCACAATTAAGTATTACTGGTCAACTTGTTATGCGTCAGATTGGCCATTGGTCCTCTCAGCTTTTGTTTCTAGATTTGCTTCCATAACTTTTGTCCAACCAAGCTCAAACTACAAGGCAGAATTTGCTTGATTTTGGAGTTTACTTTTCTAGATTGGTTGCTGACCCCAGCTATTGAGCCTTATCTGCCTGGGTGATAGAACTCTTGGACTTTTCATTTTATCAACCATGAGTTTTGCAGACTCAACCAAGCCAACCCCTAAAAGGGTTGGATCTGCTTGAAACTGATGTAAAAACAAACAACAAAAAGTGGTATAAAATTAAATACTTTAATTAATTACAAGAGTCAAAAGTAAAGTACAGTAACAAATTGATTTGCCTACAAACAAAAGTCACAACCATATCAACAATAACACAAAAACAATATTCCTACTAATAAACTATTAAATATAACAAGTAAATATCAGATGCAACAAAAAAAATGTTAATACAATTTTAGTAAAGATTATCATTTGCACTAAATAAAATATAGGAACTTTAATCTTCTGTTAACTATTATTTTTTTAATTTATGAGTGTAAAACTAGTAAAAGACTAAAGTGTTAATAAGAAAAAATGTGTCTACAGAAAGAGCTACATCTTGGTGAATGTATACAGGCTATATGTATCTAAAAGATAATCATCCAGAATAATTATAAATGATAAAGACAACACACAAATTATAGAGTACGCAACTAAAATGCTATGCTTTTTTTTTAAAAGCATGCTGTTATTTAAACAAAACCTACTGATATATTTTAATATGTACATTTTTAGATGCTAAGAAACAAATAAAAGAGGTAACATAGTTTTTAAAATTAAAAATAGTTAATGCTGAGATTTTTTTCATGACATTGCACAATGAACATGCAAAATTATGTACATAAAAGGAAAAACTTGTTTAATCTCATACTAAAGTCAAACATATTTACAGTGTCTTAGTAAATGTATACACTCCATAGACAGAAATTTAGCTTAATTACAACAACAAAAATTATTGCAAGTAAGTATTTTATATAATTTACAATTATATGATACATTAGAAATAACAGGCAACTGGTATAACTTAAATATTCAGCATAAAAATTCTATAATAGGCACAGCAAAAAGGCTATCAATCATAAGTCTTTTCATAAATTATGAATAGTTTTCTTTTGTTGATTCATTTTATTTCGGTTTCTAGTGATGTAATCTTGTCATAATAAAAAAATTGCACAGGAAAATAGTGAGACAGAAGAAAACCCAGTATCCCAAAAAAGTTATTCGAAATTGATGTATTTAGATAGTCATGGAAATATCTGTATAAAAGTAACCATATATAACAGAATACTGTGAGTAAAAAGTGTAGACCTTCAAATTACATTTAAAATTTGCTGGATGCGTAAAAGTGGTAATCTGGAATGGTAGACATAGCTTAGCAATATAGACAGTAATATAGGATGTTAACGTAAAAAAGTTCAGCAGAAGAAAAGTGGAATTGGTTTAAAATATGTAGAGCGAAAAAATGGGCTTGCTTTGGTTTTGTATGCTTTAGATAGTTTCTGAATTAAATTTAATCTGATTTAATGTTACACACATTGTGAGCTATTTTTTAAACTTATAGCAATAGTATAAATCATTTTTTTAAAGTTTTGAAATGGTTTTATTTTCAGAGATAATTTTTTCATCAATAAACATTAAACTTAAGCAGTTGTCTCCCTTATCTTTAGAACCATTACTTTTTTGTTTTCTTTGAGCTTCAAATTCACCTCCATTGCCAAGTATGAAGTCAGGGAGAATATGCATGCAGCCAGCATTATGTAAACTTTAAACTTCATACAAAAGCTACTGGAGTATCCAAATAGAATAGCCACACCTAGACCTTGAGCAATGCGCAGTCCAGCAAAAGCCTCTTCATACTTTTCAAGGAAAATTGTTCCCACCAGACCTAAGAATGCAAAAAAAAAAAACATCACATTAAAATATTTCATTACAATTACATTTTGTACAGTTACCTATTCATCAGTTACTTTAATACGCTTTTTATTATGATGGTGCTTTTTATTATGATAGTTATGAACCAAACTGAACAGTAGCTATAAATAAAAATTGCTATAAATATATGACTTGATCTGTGGCATGATAAAGATAAGCGAGCTATACTTCATTATTTCCTAAATAACTAAACATAGGGTGTTTCCTCATAAATATGAAGACAAATTAGACAAAAATCTATCAATCCCCTGCCCCAACAGTGTCAAACCACAACAGTTACCAGTTTTACTATGCCATAAAGTGTCATCACACAAAAATAATCTAGTCAGTAAAGTTACACTCCAAATTTTTGCTTATATTAAAAATTTTAGTGACTGCTTACAGTTGATTTGACTGATCCATATGCCGTCTGCCACTCCCCACGCACCAATCATGACAAAATACGGAACCAGCGAGTCATGGTTTGGTTGCCACTGGCTCATAAACATCAGAACACAGAAGTTAAAGATGGCAGCTAGAAGAAGAAATAAAGAAAACAGATGCAAAACGTAATACCGAAAATAGTTGGGCAGTTTTCAGCACCATCATCAGAACAAGGCGACTTGTGCAACATAACAACTGGTATTTTGTGTATTGCTAGCCAAAAATTTGGACACCATCGAGATAAACAAAAAGTGCTGTATAAAACCAGAAATACGTAATCAAGCTATTTAAAAAGTTATTTTAAAAATCATTAGGTAACAAAGTTTAAAAAGTCAATGGGTTTTCAATGGTATATATTTTAATGGAAAGGATAATTTTTCTGTTAAAAGTAGTTGTCCAGATAACATTTTTACATATATTTACAAAAATCTTTTTGAGATTGTGGGGAACCAATTTTACCCTATAAAATATAGAAATGGTAAAATATGCTTTAAGATTTTAAAATCCATGATAAGATTGTGCACTGACAAATTTAGCTCAGCAGTCTATGTTAAAACAACACAATGTAACACTTTAAAAAGTACAATAACATTTGACTTAAACTTAAAAAAAAAACATGTTTAGTCTAAAACAATAACATCTTTATAGCATCTATACACACAATATCACTGTTACTGTTATCTAAAATGAAAAAATTCAAAGCAAGTGTGAAATTAACAGGGTACTCAAGCATATACAAGCTATGTGACATTTGTTTCTAATTCTATAGTCAAGCAACAAGAAAGGTTATACAGTGCAGTATAATGGGGTGCAGTCTATAATGTTATGTATTGTAAACCTCCAACAACCAATCTTGGGTTAACACATGCCATCAGTTCTCAACCCAGGGTAATTAATTATACACATCATCTTAGGTCATTGAATTTTTAAAATATATTATATTTACAATGGTATGACAAGGAAGTTTATTCGCCATGCATGACTGATTTTTCAATGGTACACAAGATTCCGTCATACCTAAAACAAAAAGTCTTGTTTGATCTCAAATTTCCCTAAAGTTAACAACTGAATGCATAAAAAATAAAGTGTCCAAAACGGGCAAAGTTAGTGCGTGAAAGCGCAGTGTAATTTAACTTCAAAGAAAAAGAAGTATAATAGCAAAGACTTCGCTCTATTACTAGCCGTGGTAACAACCAATATGATAAAATTTCCGCATAGCATACCAGTAATAATGTGCACACAATCACCTTTAGCTCAGAAGAATTTTAATGCTCATCAGAGTAAATAATTGCATTTACTTTCCAAGCATCCTTCTTCTAAACCGTAACTTTACAAAATACTCCACACAAAAAAAAAAGAAACTAATTTAATTATTTTTTCAGCTTGGACTTGGACATATTTTGATTGTATTCTTGACTTTTTTGTGAGTAGTATAAGTAAGTTAGGATGAAAACTGCCCACTGCTGTGGAATACAGGGATCGAAAGCAGACTATAAAAAGGGTATTCTCTGCCACCTAGTAACCTTACCTTGATCAATACTTGCTCTTACCTGTATGCCCATGTTTTAGCTAGCGAGGAGCAGAGAACTACCCTCCCATACATACCATTATACCATGAAAATCTGTCACCCCCATGTCCTAATTTAGTTGTCATCTGCGGACATCCCCTGGGGATGACCCAGAAGAGCAACACATCCACTGATTCTATCCTTTAAGCCCTAGGCTTTATCTTGGGCAGTCACCACACCCTCTAGCACTCAAAATGACAAGAGAGTAATGTAAGCTTGTATAGCAACAGCTGGCTTTGAATGGATAAATTTTGTTGCTGAAATTAGAATAAACAGGTATAGAGGAAAGTGTCACCCAATGCATAAGAGCAGCAAGTGGATTATGGGAATTCATTTTGGCCAAATTCCATGACAAGAGACTGGTTTCCATGAAAATGTGAACTCAGCTTCAGATGTGAGAAAATGGTTTGCTGATTTTGAGAGAAAAATTCATGAAATAATAAATGTTTACTATACAACGTGTACAACTAATTAAAAAAAAATTCAGGTTTTTTTTTAACCTACATATGAAACATTAAAGTGAATGTTTTTAAAAATTAAAATGTGTCCATGTAGAAATGGTAATAGACCTATTACAGACAACCTGAATTCAGAGAATAAATTGAACAGCCACAAGAAAATCATTAAAACAAAGAATATTGAGCATTAAATCTTTATGACCTCTGACAGTAACAATCTCTAAAATCCAACCAGTTAGAAACTATACTGAAATGAAGTAAGCACTGTGCCCAAGTATTTGGACAACACAAAGAAACACTAATGTGACTGTATTTATTTAGTGTCATTTTAAAATTAAAATGAGCCTCAGATCTGATAGTCTTCTAAAGTAATATAAATAGATGAATGAATAACTGAATATGTTAAAGAAAACAAATTTTAGAAAATAGATTGAATAAACTAATTCTTCCTTCTTTGTAACTTTTGACAAATGGAGCCACAAACTACTATCTATTAAAATCCTTCAGTGAGAAAAACTAAACACTACATATACCAAAAAGATATCTAACTTATTAATAAAGAACAGTGTGAAAGGTTCAGTGCATAAGATATAACTAAAGAATGAATTGCAATTATAAAATGTAATCTACAGAAAATACTAAATGAGAGTGCACTTATGTTATTTAAAGAATATTTTAGAAATTTAAAAAATGTATGAATTAGTGTTGTATATATAATATACTTTTGTATTTTTGTATTGGTTAATGCAGACTGATGTTATATTGTAGCCTTACATTTAAACTTTATTAAATTTTCAAAAATATCTATCATCATTGTTCATCTCTTAAATGAAGTAAATGCGTAATAAAATTAACTGTGTTGTTTCACATAATGTTGAACCATTTCTGAGTATTCAAGCATAATTTACAAAAATAAATTACACTAATACTATTTTCATTATGATAAAAAGTATTTATAACACAATTTACCAGTAGTAAATAATGTGACTCGTCCAACATGTTTGTTGAGAAGTCCACTGAGGTAAGAACTGATACTCCCACAAACACCAAAGCAAATCATGGCATAGCCAACCATGTGGACACCAAGAGGGCAGGTAATAAAGGCCTGGAATAGTTTTTTAGAGTATTTATTAAAGTTTGCAACACTAGTTAATACAATGCACAATTCTTTACAATAATATTATGCTTGTTAAAATTATTATTTAGAAATGTGTAAAATTTACTAAAATGTCTTACCATTGTAACATCAGCAGAGATGAATCCAAACTGCATCAGTGAATACATTTGTAGAGGCAGGAGCAGAAGAAATCTGCTGTCTTTAACAAAATGAGCTAAGGAAATCATCTGATCCTTCATCTTTTGTAAAGGTTTTTGTGGAGCGGTGAACGCATGCTCACTCAGAGGTTCTAGAAACAAGGCTGCGATGAAAATGGCCAGGACTATACACCCCATGTAGGTACCAAACAAGATGCACTTGGTCTCATTGTTGATTAAAAGTGCTCCTCCCACTCTATAGTAGTTACAAAAGGATGCTCCACAGAGTGCTATCTCATTTGAATCTACAGTAGTAGTCTGAACTTTCTTTTCTGTGAAATCAAACAGACCAGCACTAACATCAACAGGCAGTACTGAGGCTACCTCATGTGGTTTTTCTTGAAAGATATTGAAAGAGAGATTATTTACATCTGATGAATTTGAAAATGGAACACCTGTGTCTATTGAATGCAATACTAATGAAGAAATTAAGTTCCCAATAACATGATAACTTTGATAAATGAGGCAAAATACACCAAAAAAATTACTGGATACTTTCTCAAAGCTTGAGCTTTTCCTTTGTGCTTGCCCTTTTGATAACAAGGTAATGTAAGTACTCATGGCATTCCAGATGACAGCCATGGAAACACCTTGTAGAAATGAGGTGGGCGCCATTAGCCACATGCTGGGGTAGATGTTGGAGCCAATATACAGCAGGTTGGGAAACAAGCTGACCACAATACACCTGGACGGCTGAAAAGTCTGGACAAGAGAAATGCTGACTACGCTGCCCAGCATGTAGCCCACAAAGCTGACGGCCATGGAGACGATCCCCACACCCCCTTCCTGGTTTAAGCTGCTTTGTAGATTCCTCACTGATCCAATAGCAATGAACATGAGGGTTATAACAACACTCAGAGCTATCAAATTGCGAACATATCTCTCACTGGATATCATTTTGTATTTCATGTTTTCAATCTGGCTAGACACTTCCCTGGAGTCTCTATATGCAAGGCTGCTCAGAGAACCAAAGGTAAGGTCATCTTTGAGGTAGATCAAAGCATGTTGACAAGCTCTGCCTACTTTAGAAATGTCAGATAGATCCAGAAAACCTGAATTCTCTTGGAGATTCTGCATTGGTGATGCTCTTTTGTCAAGCCAGAAAGTATCGGTTTCAGTAAGACTAACCATGCTTGAATGAGGGCATGTTTCTGTCAACTTGTTAGGGTCACTGGGGATCAGAACATAGTTGGCACATAAGACTACACTGAGAACATTTTCAGGGCTTTTTTCTTTCTCTAGATATTCACTTACAGTTGCTAAAATAATTTCAGGATTATAATTTTTCTGAGACATGTTTGAGTTTGGGAGTTGATTACAAGGAAGCAAAGACTGGTACTCTTCAACATTCTCTCCAGCAAGTTGTTTCATTTCATCCATGTACTTAGAACCGTCTTCACTGGTGTCAGCAGGACTTGTAAAAATATCGGAATAAACATCTGTGGTGTTAGGGCTTCCCTCATTATTTTTTGTGGGCTTAATGAGATACGTTGAGCTCGTTGCACTGGTCACAGAATCTGTGTAAGCATTATCAAACTCTGCCATGTAAGCATTATTCAGCTCTGCCATGTAAGCATTATCAAGTTTTGCAGTGTAAGCATTATCAAACTCTGCCGTGTAAGCATTATTCAGCTCTGCCGTGTAAGCATTATCAAACTCTGCTGTGTAAGCATTATTCAGCTCTGCTGTGTAGGCATTATTCAACTCAGGCTCAACATTTCCATTAATTTCAATATCGTCGGAGCAAGTATGACAGTTCTGCTGTCCAGCTAGAACTGTGTGTACATCTTTGTGATTATCATTGTTTGCAATGAAATCTCCCCATGGCATTTCATCCTGTTCGTGTGACATTTCTCCACTGTTGTCTAGTGAGTTCTCCATTGTCAGTAATAAAAAAATTAATTTATTGGAACACTTTCACAGTTGGTTCCTCACAGCCAATATCATCTGGATGTTTCATCCATATTTAGTCAATAGCTAGGATCAGATGATAAAAGTCACTCAGATACTAGCTGAAGGGGTGAGTTTTAATTATTTACTTGTACTGTGGTTTTATCTTTATGCACAAGACTTGTTTAAGTAGGCCTAATCATCTTTATGACATCTGGAAACAAGTTAAAATAATGATGGTTAAATACACATTTTTTAAAAATTGATGGTCCAATTTCCTAAGTAAAAATAGAATAGTCATCTTGACAGTGTATAAGATGAAAGGTGGTGCAAAGAAAAGCCCACATTTGCTGTCATTTAAAAGAGAATGGGATCTATGGTGTACTGCTAGTGTTAGTGATATTTAAGGACAGTTGTATATTGGCTAACTACATGGTATAAAATCTTAAATTTAAAACTGTCAAGGAATCTCAATCTTACTTATCAAGTGAAATAATGAGACACCTTGGCAGATTTATGGCAAGCAGAGTTTCTTCCAGGCATGCCCCCCCCCCCCCCGAAAAATTTTTACCGCCCCCCCCCCCCCGAACGAAATGAAATTTATATAATTTATATAGAAAATATATACTTTTAACAGTGTCCGCCCCCCCGAAGAAAGTTTACCGCCCCCCCGAAAATTTCAAGTGCCCCCCCCCGGAGAAAAAAGTCTGGAAGAAACACTGATGGCAAGTGCCAAACAATAAGCAAACTGTTAGGTTTCAACTATAAAAAAAACAAGACTTAAGAACAGGTCAACTAGACTAAAGAATTATTTATTCAATTTATTGTGCTGCTTTTATTTTTACACTATGTTACTGGAGTAATCTTTTTATAAGATTAGATTGCTTTCCTATCTAAATATAATTTTTTTTAATAGGCTTAAGACTTAGTTAAGACCAATAAATATGTAGGGCCTAATGAAATGAGTCAATAATTAATCACTGATTAATGACTAGACTCTATGAATGAATGATCCTACTAAAACCCTAAAATAAAATACTTATATAGATCTACTAATATATACTAAATTAGTTAGGCCTTACTGTTACTGTTATTTTTATTTAGATTCTAGTAGTAGTACTAAGTTAAAGCAGGGGCGTAGCGAGGGGGGGGGCGGGGGTGCGGACCGCACCGGGTGACACCATTTAGGGGGGTGACACCAAGGCAAAAATTAGCAAAATATATAGAGAAATACTTGAGGGGGGGGGTGCAAATCGAAAGTTTGAGGGGGGGGTGCAAATCGAAAACTTGAAAGTTTGTCCCCGGGAAGGGTCGCAACACCTCTGGGGGGGTGACACCATTAAGTGCCGCACCGGGTGACACCCGACCTCGCTAAGAATCCAGTCTTTCTATCTATACTCTCTAGGCCTATACTATAGTCTGTCTATAGATCTAGTCAAGAGTGGTACTAGATTCTAGATCTAAGATGCTTTCTAGTAATTTTCTATGGTATTTGTTATTATAGGTCTACTGGACTCATAATAATAATACTTAACTAGGCCTATACTTAACTATACTAAAAATATAATAATAGCCTACTGTTACTGTTATGAGTTATGTTATACCATACTCTGTAGTCAGTAGTCTGTTAAGTAGTGTTAAGTTAGGGATTTATAGAATCTAGATCTAGATCTAGATCTGGACTCTAGATCTAGATCTAGAATTAGAATCGACTGAAAGCAGAAAGCTGAGTGAAAGACTGATACCAAATCGTTTTGATTTTAAATTTTAAGTTTAAAGTAATTTTCTAATTCTTGAATACTCGAAGTCGAAGATCTAAATCTAGATCTAGATCTAGTCTAGATATAGATCTACTTCAATTAAAAATATTCAAGATTTAAGAATCGAGATCTAGAATCTACTAAAATTACTTGAGTTTAGTGAATTAGTCTGTAACTCGATTGGATCAAGAAAACCAGATTTGAGTGTGTCACAGTTCGCTGACAGTAAGTCAAGACAAAACAAGGAAGTGTGTAACACTGTAAAGCCTGTCGGCTAACCCGTTTCATCCAGATTTTCCCGGTTCCCTAATCATTAAAGAAAACCTTTTCGTTTACACCATGTTTCAAATATTCTAGATCTAGATTTCTAAATCTATTTTGAATTTTTAAAGTATAATTACACAATAATAAATTACTCGGTTTTCTTAAGAAACAAACGTAAGCTAACTGTAGGCATTAACGGGACTATGATAGCCTAGTGTGTTATTATTTTGATCAATAAACAACAATAAAGGTCAAGGTAGCCAAAATAGTAAAACATTTGTTTCTTTCTACACACGTAGGCTAAGAAGAACTCACTGTGGGAAAAATATTAGGCCCATACTACATTCCTACTTCTAAGTAATAATTTGTGTTTATACGATTTTGGGCGATAACGTGTAAAAAGTTATAGTTAAAGACCTAGGGGCCTAATGATACTAACTAATCTATATAGTATATATAGAGTTAGAGGGCAGAAGTACCAGGTGTTAATTATTTATTTTTGACTATCCCCATTTCGCGGCACTTTATTAAAAAAAAACCATTTTAAGTAGCCTTTAAATACATGAAATGTAAAATTTAGCTTCTAGTACTTCTAGTGTTGTTAATTTATAATTTTATCTGACACCCACAAAGAAGGGCTACTGTGGTAAATAACTCAATAAAAGGGTAATTTCACGAATTATCCTTCTTTGTCCAATAGGCGGACGGATTATTTACCTGCGTTTGTTATATCTAGACGACATAGAATTAGAATCTAGCAGGCAGTGAAGGCGACAAAGAAAACGAACAGTGTTTCTTTTCGACATTCCTTCGCGGGGGGGGGGGGGGGGGGGGAAGGGGTTGTGCCCCAATGCCCCCCACCCCAGGTGTTACAGTTCTGTTAACATCAGTTTCTTTCTTGGGCAGAGGCGTAGCGAAGGGAGGGGAGGGACATATGTCATTTTGCCAAGGCTCTATCCTTCATTTTGCAATCGCTGTCAATGGTCACTGGGCAATGTCAAGGCCGAACTGTTGTTTTTAGTTTCAACATCGTGTTGGACACCTGTTGCCGTGATCATTGCCTATTGATACGACATTTTTTTAGCAGAACCCCCCTCCACAAGTATTCTATTTACCATGTTAAACATCTGCGTCGCCCTTACATGTCTCATATCCCCCCCTCCCTCTTCTCACCTGCAACTATTACTATTTTTTAATGTACTTATTATCTTTAACGTCTTTTGTTTAGGCTCTGTATTCATTTGTAAGTTAATTATTCGCATTTTGAGAATCATCATGTATGTCCCATTATAGACTGGTTGTGCATATTAGATGAACTTGTAAGCTGCCTAATTGCAACTATAATTAGCGCATCAGCTGCACTCATTAAGTGAGAATATTTTAAGTTATAATTATAAGCTTAAAGCTATTGGGTTTTAGAGCAGTGGAGAGGAAAGTCTCGAGTTCGAATCCGGGTTCAAGTCAATTAAAATGCCCATCTGTCCACCCAGTTCTGATGGGTACCTAACTCACTGAACACACTATCCCTTCAAATGCCGAGGTCTCTGAAACAGATGAACTCTACTTCACCTGCCCCATTAGTCTTGAGCACGAACGGGGAAAAAATGATGAGCACAGCTTATATATAGAGTCGTTGGAGGTTGACGCCCTGAGTTACCACACCGTGTGTCACCCCACCTTGTGACGCCACTGATCAGGCATAGAGCCATGACGTAACAAGATTGAACTGGTGCAGCCGTGTGAGAAAGAATAGGGTATTAGGTCTGTCTAACCTGTCTAATCTCTTTTTCTCTTTTAATCTTCCTTGGTCTTCCATTCTTTCATAGTCACTGATTCTTACAGACTTTTTACTTGGGGGAGGGGGCGGATACTGTTAAAAGTATAAATTTTCTATATAAATTATATTTCGTTCGGGGGGCGGTAGACTTTCTTCGAAAGAGCGACCCCGAACTTACGAACGACATTTGAAAATTCCGGTGGAGGAGGTGATATTTTTCATATTAATTATATATTTTTCTATTTCGTTTTTGTCCGGGGGGGGGGGGGGGTGCTAACTCCTCACCCCTTCGAGAAATATTAATATTATTATTATTGCCTGCTGTCCGCCTTCCCGCTTTATCCCGCCACCGTCTGTTGTTGATTTTTGGTCACGTGCCCATGAGATAACAGTTCGACAAAGCTATCCAGCAGATAGTGCGGATTATTACGCAAAATTCGAGATTTGTGAGTTTAAGTTGCGATATGTAGGTTACCTAGATTTCGCCTTTTCTGTTTAACCTAGATTCAAGTCAAGAGAAAGTAACTCTACATACGTCGGATAAATATTTTTGAATATGAATACAATTTTAACATTTAAAAAAATATTTAGGAACAGATGTATACAATTGAAAACCAGATTTTTTAAAAATTATAATTGAGTAATGTATGTCACAAGGCAATTCCCTCCCCCCCCCCCTTGTATGGAATGTATGTCACACATATGTTAACCTGGTTATGCCACGACGTATGGCATTTATTTTCATTTACATCAAGGTCCAAGTGTTACGTAAAGTAGCAATCATGGCTGCCCGTAGGAATTTACAAAGTTTTCACAGAATTTTTTTTTCCGGCCACTAAGTTTTGTCACTATTTTTATTTTGTAAGTGTCGTCAGCAACTGACGTCACGTTGTTAGAAATATTTTACACCATACCCTCCATCTTCACAAAAATGTGGGACCCCCAACTTAAATTAACGTCACACATCAGCATACCCCCCCCCCCCCCCACGCTACACACCACGCAGATTAATTTAGGCTTTGTCAAGATCATGTTGATTAGTTAATTAAAATTAAAATATGATATGACTTGACGAATTTGAGTTTTTAAAATGCAGAAATGTGACATTACAGCACCATTCACCTAACGCTGCAAATATGTAGTTTATATTTACACATATCCATAAACTACGTCACGTTTCTTTTTTACGATTTTTACCCCCCCCCCCCCCCCCCCCCATTATAATTGCAGTTTTTTTTTTTCAATACACTGATGTCTGTCTACATTATTTATTAGTTCGGTCATCACTGAGTAGTCCTTCTAAAGTATTCTATTGCAAATTACAAAAACTTTTGTTTAAACGCGAAATAGCTGGCAAAATTCAGTTTCTAACAAAACTTTTTTTTTAATAAGTATAATTGTCTCATCACATTTTTTTTACCCCCCCCCCCACTTCTTCGTAAATCATCGTCACAAAAGTGACACCCATACCCTTAGGACCGTGATGTTGTTTGTGGACGCCCCCCCCCCCCCCCATCAGAGACGTAGCGACCCTTCCCGCCCGGGGACAAACTTTTCGATTTGCACCCCCCCCCCATATTGATCTATGTATGCTTGACCTCGATAGCTAAACATTACTACCGTTGGCCAACGGAGAAAGAAAGATTTAATTTTTTCAACCCGTTTTGGATGTTGTAAACAGATATTTGAGATACACGAACCTGCAATCAACACCTCGCATCTCAAAATGCTAATTAGGCCCCAGTGCCCCGCGGCTGTTGTTATGACGAGCACGTGGCCACACAAAAAACACGCCCATGCGCAGAGAGTTGACCTAATTTCTTTATAATATTTTTTCTATTGGTTGACACACTTTCTTTCTTGTGGACACGGACCGCTGTGCACTGAACCGCGGCAGTACTATGTCTACCAACCGCGCGCGCGCAAGGCTACGTGCGTGTGTGACGACAGTAGCACTTTTTTCAGGTCCTGACGCACACTTGACCTATTATTTATTTTTTTGTGTCATGTGCCGGGCGTTTGAGGGGGGGGGGGGGGGGGTATTCAGCACAAAGAGTATTCTCCCCTATATACACTTGACAGGAATAAAGTGGATGCCAAATTTGTGAAAGAGGAAAACAAAAGGGGGGGGGGGGGGGGGTTAGTGGTAATTCACTGGTAATACAGTGGCCTATAGTACTTTAGAGGACTGTGTATCGTTCTGAAAAATTGCAATAGTCAACAGAAAACGGTTTATTATATAAGAGACATTTACTTTAATGCAGTAATGTTTTTTTTTTTAAAAAAAGGAAAACAAATTGGAAACCTTTCACGAGATGTTAGCGACACAATTTTTAATTTTTAATTACGAACTTTCAAAATGTCTGTTTTTAAACTCCGGTACCCAAATCATCCCTAGATAAATTCAGGGATCATCAAAAACTCGAGCTCTTCCGAGACAATCGAGTTAGCAATCAACTGCTTTAGGCTATAGGAGTACTTGTTCGTGTAGCATTTTTTTAAATATACCAATAATGGGTAGGCACAAATGCTCGAACTGAAATGTTATAAACGCCCTTTCAGACATTTTCAGTGTTTCTTTCAGATTTTTTTCTCGGGGGGGGGGGGGGGGGGGGGGGGAGGGGGGGGGGGGGGGTGACGACGACACTTTCTGGGGGGGGGGGGGGGGGCGGACAACATGGACAAACATTTTCCGGGGGGGGCGGACACTGGTAAAAGTATATGTTTGCTATATAAATTCCATTTCGTCCGGGGGGGGGTGGACATTTTGCTCCGGGGTCTGAGGGGGGGGGGGGATGTGAAGAGAGGGTAGGTACATTTGAAACTTTGGAGGTGGGTGTTCTATATAATAAATGTATGTATTTTTGTCTATTTCGTCCATGGGATGAGGCGGTAGACGTGGACGGGGGACTGGGGGGGGGGGGCGGGATAATGACCGGATTTAGTCTTAGCGGGGCTCATTGGCTGAAAATTATCCAAGGCCTATGTGACTATTTATAACCTAGGTAATAAAACAAAATCTGGGGGTCTCATAAAATAAAGCTTCCCCCCCCCCTCGCTACAATATCCTGGATTCGTTAGGCTGTTTAAGAGAAAGAACAGCTAAATACTCCAAATTGCACAATATTAATCCCCTAACACTTTTTAATAATGCAATATAAAATGAATAATTTATTGTTCCCGTAATATCGTGCGACATAAATCTGACTTGATTGAAGTGGATCTTGTCTACATTACCTTAATTACCTTGAGAAAACACCCTCCCCCGTTTAATCACAACTTGTCTGATTTATTAAGCTTTCAACT